AAGCACAGTGAGACCATGCAGGTATGTTGTAGTAGAGGGGAGAATAAATCAAACTGCGGTTTGGCTGAAGGCCAGCTCATCTCTTTTAGAGAATTTCTTGCAGTTCTTAGTTTGCAGCTGAAATAGAGTTATTAGTGGTTGATTATAAGGTGAAGTATAACAGGAAACACAGTCATGCCCATTAAATTATTGCAGCCTGCAATGAGGTATAAAGTAAAATGCATTCGCTATGCATGTACATTACCCTAGATGTATTTGCTACTTCAGTTGTAATATGTGGTTCTGCACTGATGTATTTTCCACTGTCCCATTTGCCCGCGGCTTATTACAACCCTTGTATCTTGGGAATACTTTGAGTTCCAAATTATAGCAAAATCTCAAAAGAAGTGTACTTTTAAAATCCATTTAATTTTTGTGCTGCAAAATAGTTCTGGTGCACTCCCTCTTTGCAGTGAAGATTCCTCTTTTCTGCCCAAAGTTATGCTAAGCCAGAGCCCAGCATGGTTAATACTCGATCCTGCAGCCTGTTATATCAGATTACTTTTAGAAGCAATGTATTTGTGGAGATGGGTAATCCCCATATCCTCATGAAACATGCACATTTATTTATAGGCTTAGGAGACAGAAAATGCTGGATTTAACCAGAGTTGTTGTGTGGAGATAGCTCATGTGTTGTGTGCTGTGCTGGGCAGAGGTTAGGGCTGGTTTTGAACAGAGTAATGATAATGAAGACACCTGATTTACACTCTTAAATGCTTGTAAAATAGGATCACTGAAAAACAGATGTGCTGTACTGAGTGTGTTCAGTTAAAGAACTGGCATGTATAACTTTCTGGTGGCTTCTTCTGCCCTCAGAAGTTCAGTCATGCCAAAATAGTGCTCATAAAATCATCCTGCCATGCAAACCCATATTTTATATAGGTGTTACTTACAATATTTCTGGAATTGGGGACATAAATTTACATGAATTTTCATACTTTGGTGTCAGATATTTATTGTAGCAGTTACATTTTTCAAAGAGGCTGTGAGCTAACTAATTTCCTTTCCCTCCTTTGGGGACTATAAAGAGAATTTCAAAGGCATGCTTGTTCCTACGAACAAGTCAAAATTGTTCTAAAATTGAAAAGCCTAAAATTAGCACGTGATGCAAAAGCACAAACTGGATAGTAGAAGGTCTTGTCTATATGAGGGACTTAAAAAAGGTATTTGCTGATGTTGATTATGTTACAACTATTTGGCTTCTGAAAATATCTTCTGCAACCAGCAGGCTATTTACTGTAGAGCTTTGTTCTTCTGATGTGCAAAGTGGACAAGCACTAACAGCAGCTTGATTTTACTTTAGGTCTTTATTAGGTTGTGCCTTGTGTTAGCAAGTTATGCTAAAGCATCTCCACATTTGGGTGCCATTAGGTCTGCCAGCATTAGAAGCCCATCATTCTTCAGCAGCTGTGGATGTTGGTGTCCTGTGTAAGATGGGCATGAACCACACTGCCAGATCTTTTTGGCAGTTTGTGTGTATTTATGTGAGTGAATAGCAGAGGACTGTCATGAATTAATATTTTTTTGTTTTTTTGTTTTTTTTTTTTGTAAAAAATTTTGTCATCTTTTAAAGTTTTGGATTTTTTTTTCCTCTGCAAGAGTAAGGAAATATTACATTTCAGTCAAAAGCAGAAATGTAAAAATAAATGGTGTAATTCTGGTGGTGGTTTATTAAACGGGCTGTTGACTGTTGCCTTGAATAAGGTTTTATCATGCTGGTGCAGAAAGAATTAAAAAAAATTAAGATTTCATGTAAGAGGAGATCATAGTTTTAAAATATCATGTTACTTGGGAGTAAGTGAGGGTAAGAACAGATATGTGAGCTCAGTCCTGCTTGTTTTAACGCCCATGCCATGGTTGGAGATAGGAACAGATGTACAGAGAAGAGAATAAGAGATTTTTGTCTTTGGGAGGGCAAAATGAGGGAACATCTAAGCCACAATGAAGATGATCTGATTATGGTAATGGGGCACACACTATTATTTAATGAATGTTTCTTTTCAGCATCACTCCTAATTCCCATTGTGAATATTGTGTTGCTTGCATGGCTGCAATGTATAGCACCTAAAACTGCCTTCTAGATGCTTATATGCTGGAGTTGAGCAGACATTTTAATGTCACTTGATGAAGTCTTAAGCGCCTAAGGGTAGATGCAAAAAGATCTCAACCAGAAGGACAGGGTTTTGTTATCTCATTCATAAAGACACTATCTATCCCAAACTGGAGACGGAACCCATAATGATTTATGAAGTATAATTTTCATGCAGCTTCCTGTTGCTGAAAACCAGCATGGGTTTATTATTTCCTTTTGTTAGTATACGTTATTTTTTTTTCCATTAAAATATAGTCCACCAACAATACAAGAATGAGAGAGGGTGTGGAAGAGAAACTGTAGAGCTTGGCAGCAGTTCTGTGGAGAACAGGAGGTTCGGTGGGTGCTCACCAGTACAGTCCAACAGCTACTCAGGCACTTCAAGTTATTTTTACAGGAAAGGATGTTTTATTGGTTGCAGATGTGGAGTACTTGTTAATATTTATTAGGGAAGATGGGTTTTGTAGTCTTTGAGGGAAGAAAACGCTGTGGTCCCTGTCGTTCTCTCCGTCTCTAATCCATCTGTAACATCTAAAAGGCAAAACAAAACCAACATGGGGAGTAGTTGGCACTGGAATAGGTTGCCCAGGGAGGTTGTGAATGCTCCATCCCTGGCAGTGTTCAAGGCCAGGTTGGACGAGGCCTTGGGTAATATGATTTAGAGCGAGGTGTCCCTGCCCATGGCAGGGGGGTTGGAACTTGATGATCTTAAGGTCCTTTCCAACCCTAACTATTCTATGATTCTATGATTCTAATTTGCATCAAGTGATGAGGGGTTTTATTCTTCAACAGATTTTCCTATTATAAAACATCTTCCTTCACACCACCATCCTTCCTCTTCACATGGGGCAGAGTGGGGGACACCCTGCCTGCATGCAGAAGGACCAGTCTCTTTTTGCTCTTTCCACCTCTTAACTTCAGAAATGTTGTGTCTATAATATAAATGCTGTGAAGATTTTATTAAAAAAACCTGTAACCTCTTTGGTTGGGTAAACTGGTGGTGGTTGTATCCAGTGCAACTGGTTGAAGAGCAGGTTCTGACCCTTCCTCCTTTTAGGCAACGGTTCCCTGCCTGCTGCTGTTTCTTGTCTTCAGTTTTGAAAGTTAAAACCTCAAGATTGGAGTTCCCACAACAAACTGTCTTATCCCAGACCTTACATGGCACACCCAGCTGAAAATCCAGTAATTAGGTAAACTCTGGATAGAAAGACCTCCCTTCTTATTGAATCTTCTTTAATGAGGTCTGATTTATGAAAAAACACTAGACGTTTTTTCCTGTAACTCAGGCAAAGCCCATACAATTATTTTAGAGGTAAGAAGCCTTTCATGTAGGCGTACTAAGGACACTGCTGGCATCTGAAAAGAAACCAGTTTTGTACTGGTTTGTACACAAACTTTGGGCAAAACCCTTGACTTAAAGAACTTCTTTTAAGGATCCCAGGCCCAGCATAGATAATGTGTGCCTCCTGGGGGGCTGATGCCTTTGGGGACTTCAGACATCTGCTGATGAGCTCTTTAGCAATATTAAATAATGTAGATATGTTAAACCGTAGAATATTACATCTGTTCTACTCGCTTCGTTCTTGGAAGATGCTCCCGGCCACAGCATGGGTGATTTATTTTACTTTTAAACCCTGAATATGCTCATCTGTAGTTTGAAAAACTGCTTATATCTTTTTCTGTTTCACTTGGCTTTCAGGTTCAAGGTTTGAAACCATACAAACAGCTAATATTATCCCAGAATTGAATGCTACAGCTTTAAGATAAGGTGCCGGGGCGCTCTCAGCGCACACACAGCCGCCTCCTCCCATTCCCTTGTTTTTTTTTCTCATGCTGAAAATACCCCACCATATTCATGATAACAGCGTTTATTTTTTTTTTTTATACTTCCCCCCCTTTCCGAAATCCACCAAAACTGAAGAAAAATCCAAGTGACTGTTCTTAGCAGCTGTGTGGCCCGGAGTTCAGTGGGGAAGCGGCTTCCTGCCGTCCCTATTCATCACCTGCTTCAAAGGCAGCCTGGCTGCTCCAGTGTGCAGGCCAGGTAGGGTGCCATTGTGCGCAGGCGGGGAGGATTAGTATCAAAGCTGCGGCAACCAGGCCCTTGGTCTCGGGCTGCCATTCAGTCTAGCGGGGAGAGGCTAAGACTGGCCAAGGTCACAGCATCCAGTGTGGTGCGGACTGGGAAAGGATCCTGAGAATAGAGGGACTTCTTATGAAATCATGGCGCAAGCTTGCGGCACAGCAGGTGCCCTTCTGGAACACATACATCTGTTTATGTTGGGATAGCGTAGCTGACAACGGGATAATAGAGCTTTGTTTTTTATAATTTTCCCCTTTTTTATTATTTATTTATTTTAAAGAACTACAACTCTATATACGACAGCGTTGAGTGTTGGCGGGAAGAGCACTGGCTTTGGAAATCATAAAGAAATCTTTAAAAGGTTTAATTGCTGGGGTGGGGGGTTGTGTGTGTATACTTAAGCGAAGGGGAGAGCAGGCTGCCTATTAACCATTTAGGATCCTCAGCCCTGCTGATGAGCAGCAGCAGGATCCAGGGGGACCGTGCACAGAAGGCGACAATGCCATATTTTTTTTCCCCCCTATCTTTTCTCTTTTTGTCCGCTCCGACATTTGTACTAACACATTGGTTAAAGGATGCGCTGGATTTGCTCGGTTGTCTCCATTGTTGGGATTGTCTGGAGGAATCCTGTCACGCTAGCGGTGGCTTTTTAAAAGGTGAGGTAATAGTGACGTAAAAATAAAATTGCCAACTTGATGAAATTAAGGGGGAAATTAAGCTGTAGACGAGTTGTCATGACGACAAGGATGTTCTATTGATGAACTGTACTCCTCACTGTCCAATCAGATAGTGGAGCTGAAGCTGGAGCATGAACAGGAGAAGACGCACCTATTCCAGCAGCACAACGCAGAGAAGGACTGCCTGGTCCGAGACCACGAACGGGAAATCGAGAAACTGGAGAAGCAGCTTCGCGCTGCCATGGCAGAGCACGAGAGTAAAACTCAAGAATGCAGGAAGCGAGACGGGCAGGTAATGATCAATAATGCTTGAAAGGCGGCCGCTTATTAGGAAATGCTGATAATTAGTGGTTCCCGTTGGCAGCATTGTTGGTGCTGCACCCTGGGTGAGCATTTGCGAAACTGGCACATAGACGTGATTTAGTTTTTTCTTTTTCCTTCTTTTTTTTTTTTTCCGCTTTCCCCCCTCCTTTCCCACTGCTGAATAGGGGCTTTAACTGCAAAAACCACAGGTAGCCAGATTAAAAATCCCATGGTGCGCTATAACTCGGCCTATTTATAATCTTGTCTCATTTTCTTTCATGATGGATTTGTTTAAGAAAAAAAAGGTATCTGTTCTTCTCCCCCCCCCCCCCCCCCAGCCCTCACACTCACCCCCTCCTTTTCTCCTTCCTGGGCAAATCCATGTGAATTATATCTGCTTCATTCGGATGCTTTTATTTTTGTTTTGAAATCTCTGCAGGTAACTCACAAATGCCTTTATTTCATTCTGTTCATGTCCTTTTGTTTCAGTTTGGTATTCTAGATTTGCATTGTGTGCCTCCGTATGTCGGGTGTTTGATAAGATGATGTGGCTTTGGGCTTGCTCACCATCACGTTTATTTTCCTACACACACACGCACCCCTCCCATCCTCCATCTCTGGTCACTGTTGGAAGCCATTTGGCAGAATAACCCCCAGCTGGGGTAGTATTTGACTCTTCAAACTTCTGGATGAAATGCACACTGTCAGCATGGAAAATGATCTTTATGAGTTTTCAGTTCAAAACCCATCTGATAGCATTTTTTTCAACGTATTTTGTGAGGATGGCATGTATTTTCCTAAGAACCTATATAAAAAAGGGCCTGCAATGGCAATGTTAAAAAAAATGGAGGTGATTTTGTAGTTGAAAGAGTATTCAGAAAATAATCTTTACTAATCAGCTTTAGAATTACTTATCATGCACGGATTATTTTACCCCAAAACTGGACATTTTGGGAAGGCGTCTGTAACGATGTATGTTTTCCGCTCACCACCGCCTTCCCTACAAGATATACGACTCTGACATTGAGGCGTTTTCACTTTACTTTCCTGTAGACTAGTGGGCTGTGTCTTTCACTGGCAACTTTAACGTAGCTTAACGAAATTGAGTGTTAAATTTAAATTAATTTTTTCTTTTACCTTTGGATGACTCAGACTACGGAAGTGTGGCTTAAGTAAGTCTATTGGAAAACAAACGGCTGGTTGGGGGAGGATGAGGGATACATTGCAGAGCGAGGACTTATTTCTCCATTTCCACCATTATGGTTTTCCAAAGAAAATGAGAGAGACTTTTGTGAGAACGCTTTCGAAGAGGATATTCAGGTAGCGTCTGAAAAAGTGAACCTCGCCCTTTATTCTCCACTTTATTGTAAGAGTGAACAAAGACTGAAATCGTTGAAGGGTTTTATCTTTGCATGTTTTGCTTTGGCCCAACATAGATGCATCTTAACTATAGAGATCTTTGAGAGTACCTTGTCAAAGTTGTATCACCCTCTCACCCACATTCCTGATGTTGTGTTTGCGTGGCACTCAAGTTAAAAAAAAAAAAAAAGGTTTAAAATGATACAGAATTATTTTGTCTACACGCCAGCATTCTGCATATTGCTCTGCATAGCCCTGAATACAAAGACGAAGAGACTATCTTAAGCAAATTCAGAGAATCTGGGAGGTTTCTTGTAAGCGTATCTATTTCATTCTGTTGGGGGTCATTTCTGGCAAAGGTTGAAGCCCGAAGTTGGATTGTGCTTTCTCTTTGCAATGGGATGTATAATGCTACTACAGGTGCTACACAGAAAGCTAGAAATTATCGCAGCTATTAGGGAAACCCTAACAGTCTTAATAGCAAAAAACTTTGGCCTTTTTACAGGGCTTTTCTTTGAATATCCCTGTACAGTCACTTGAACATTGCTGCCATGAGAATGTCATGTAAATCAGGGAGGGAAGCGCGGTTGCCTTTGATTAGAAGAGCTGTTTATTTAAATTCTAGTAAGAATCTATCAGCTTTCAAGGATGCAGATTTTTTTCCGTTTGGGGAAATAAATTGTTCTTCGTTCCTTCCTCTAGTCTTTGTGTTAGGATTCACTTTGTCTTTGCAATGAGCTCAACAGACAATACTGGTGTTCCTTATGGAATTATGGCACGTATTTTTAATATTTTTTTTTAATATTTGCATATATTCTCCAAGAAGCATGTTTGGCCATTGCATGTGCTAATGGCCAATGTCCTTTATGAAACATTTGGCAGTCTCTAACAAAGGTATCAGTGGTTTAATGAGTGTATCTAAACAGGGCTTTGAAAAGCCTGTTTATTTTGAACCATGTTTGGCAGCAGTATGCTTTAGGACTGCTCTATGTGACAGTCGAGGTGCAATGAAACAGGAGAAGAGGCCATTTTGCTTCGCTGAATGAAAAGTAGATTTGCTGGGCATTTAAAAAAATTTAAATAATAATTAGAGTTATTCACATAGAGCAGCGTGTTTTGAAGGACCTATTTGTTCAATGTTTAGCGAAGGATGTGAAAGCACCGTTATTAAAGGTATTTATTCTTCCTTAAATCCTTTTCCATATGAAAGAGTAGCGAATGTTTAGATTACATATTTCTTAGTATATTCCTGAAGACAGCTGTGATTGAGTATTGCAGAACAGTTTATTACACTGTTACTGAAAAGATTAATTTATTCTTATATTGCCTATCCAAGGTCTCTACTTGCACATAGATCTTCAGCTACTGTAAATGATAGTATACAAAGCGGGTAGATTTTATTCAAATACGAATATATTACTGCTTCAATCACAGCTAAAGTATAAAAATTAAGATTTCAGTGCACTACCAGATTTTAATGAAATATAAAATAATGTTACTGCTTTTTTGAAATACAACTGTAATATATTTTCAGGAAAGGAACTTGATACACATGAATTACCTTTTGTGTTGCTGGTGAATTTCTGGGTAACAGTTTCATTCCACTTTAGGTCTTGGATTTCTCCATTTCTAGGAGGCTTGCTTAGATGTTTTTCACCTAGGGTTATAATGCTTGGGGAGGAGTAAATTGACATGTAGGTCAATAAAAGTCAAAGCAGTACAAAGGCTTTTATACCATGCTGTGTTCTTGTAGTCTTTTAAATGCTATGCGTTTTCTATGAACTGCCATAATATTGTTATTCTTGAAGAAGTAGCTAATAATACAGGATTCTTTTTCTTTTAAAGGGTAGTTTTGAATCACTACTTTCTTTAGGAGCAGTTTTTTTGCTCATTCGTTCCCGACATCCCTAAATAATTTTAGTTTATACGTTAGTTCACAAACCAGGGAGCTCCTTACATGACAGAGATCTTCCTTTGTTTTAATAAAACCAGCCTGGCTACTGAATTGGTGATTTTTCTGAAGCAAGACTTATGATTACATAGAATAATACATCTAATTTGCTTCTGTGAAATGAGGTAGAGAGGTTAGGAAATCCTAATAACCAATGCCAAGTGGGCTGTGGTACCAGTTGTGCCCTTACATTGTCCCTTTGTCCTGTGAATGTCATTGTCTCCTCAGCATCTGAAATGTGCCCTCAAACAGCTCAAAGATTTTCAAGTTCCAGCTGCTGTACCGATTTGGATCATTTTTGTGCTTGTTCTTTGACGTTGACCTTCGGGCAAGAAGAAGGGGAAAAAATATACCCCTGTAACTTCAAATGTGGCACTTGGCACTACAGCAAGAGGAGAAAGTTTCCGTGAGGAAGCTGAATTCCCTTTCCAGGTTCTCTCGTGAGATAATTGGCAAGTCCAATGTTTTCATCCATTTGTAAATCGGTCAAGAGTAGCGCAAATGCAGAGGCACGTTTTGCCAGAATGTGTCACTGATGTCTGATCTGGGAAATGAGGCTTCTTGAAGAGAAGATTGCTGCTCTTTGGGGGTGTCTTAGGGCTCTCAGTAAACCATTATTCATGGGGAAAGGAGAACCTTGAACAGTTCTGAACTCAGGCGAACACGCACATTGAGAATGGAGGTTGTTACGGAAAAGGGGCAGGCTGAAGGTGGTGAGAAGAGTTAATGAGGTATTTTCCCATGGCTGAAGTATCCGTTTTCTTTTTCCTCTTTTGCTTTTTGCATTTCCCCTGATCCCCTTGGCCTTTACCATCCTGGTTTGCTTTATCTTCTCAGAACTCAGTGGCTCCTCCCCTGGTGCCCAATGTACAGGCAATTCTTTGACTTTTTTCTGGCTTCTCCTCTTTGAAAATTTGCTTCTTCCCACTTGTAAATGGTGATCTTTCCGCAACTGGTGTTTTGCACCTGGTTTTGTCTGAATTAATTCTGAGCTGTTTGAACCTGTTAACAATAAAAAAACAACCCAATAATGATCACTAATTTCATACCAGCATGATAGTTATTTTTGTTCCAACAAGTCCTTGGTATATGTTTATAGTTCTGTAGAGATAATTACTATATCTACAGAGTGGAGGGAACAGATTTATCTTACCTTCCTGTACATAGTCAGCCTGAAGTGTTACTAATATGTTTGATGGAGAGATGGAGAGCCTTATTAACTATTGACAAGAGAAAATACAGAAAAAAAATCAATAGAAACACCATATACTTGCTCAATGATAACTAAATACCCCAACACATGTGTCTGCGTGTAAATATTGCTGTAGCAGTTAACTTTTCTGTATTATAATACTAATACAGAAGAATTTGGGGAGTATTTGTTCCACAATAGGACTTTCTCAAACTTTGATCTCAAAGAGCCTATTGTTACCATACAGATAAATCACTGATGAGCTCCTCTGCTTCATGTAATTGTTCTGTATCTCCAAACACCAGTTTCCACAGGGTTGTTATTCTGGTATCAGTGGAAGCAGTTTGCCTAATCGTGTCTGGAGGGTACAGATAGATGTAGCTTGTGAAACATTCAGATGTTGGTGGTGCTACTGAAGTCACTTCTGTATACAATCCTGAGTAAATAGATTCTATGACTCACTTTTTTCCTTTGACTCCTTTTTCTT